GGGGGAGAACTTTACTTGCTAGTTTATAGGATAGCTAAGCAATTGTTTTGCAAAACTCAATGGATGTCTGGTTGAAGTGAGTTAATATCCTCTCCATTCGCACGCATCTAGATCTGAGAGACCGTGGCTTCCGTGCGTTTTCAGGGTTGATTTTTGAACTGTCTGGGCGTTCCTTTGATCAAATATAGAGGGTTGGTATGGCATTGTGTCTTCGCTTACTCAAGTTATATAATTACTGTTCGATGTTTTAGCTGGGGGTGTTTTTATTTCACGATACTAACGACTGTTTTTCCTTCAATAACTTCGTTTTGGGGAAGTACTCCTTTTAGATTCTTGTCTGAAAGGCAGCCAATGCCGGCTGATATTTTGCCTGTACTCATCAGTTTATCGATTTGCTTAACTTCCTCGTTTACTTCGTACTTCTTCTGTTTTGGATGTCTAATTTGAGGAAAAATCGCTTCAGTGAAAAGTTCGTCTAGTAGGCCTTGCCTCCATAAAATTATGCGGCGGCTTCGATTTTTGGAACTTGATCTATTTGTTTCTGATTTAGTTTCGGGGGTAGCAGATGTGGGAGAATCCTGGCTGCTTTCATTACGACTTTAGAATTTGGTTTTTCTTCTACTGATGACAACAGCTGCTGGTTCAGTAATTCTATGAATTGGAAACCGGGCTTGTTCTTGCTTAGAACTAAGAAGCGCGGTTTCTAGTTAACGACATTTTGATGTATGTCGCTTATTTTTTTTTCACGTTCTTGATCAATAAGTTTTCAGGAGTCGATGGGGGCTGCAGTGATTGCTGGAGGCGATGGATTAGGTTTTGTTGCGTTGGGCAGTACGTTTATTTCGGGTGTTGCCGAAGATGTTGTGATGGGTGCTGTGCTTGTTGGTCTGTTGGTAGAGTTAAACCATTTTGCAAGGTTTTCGGGGTGCATTGCATGCAGGAGAACCCATCGTTTTAAAATTTGCTGCTCTTTAGCCCGCTACATGTGACATGGATGTATGCTTTGCAATTGATACACCATATGCCTACTTTTTGGAGGTGGCGTTTGCAAATATGGCAGTTTGTTTTATCGGCCATAATTTGGCAACGTGGAGGGTAATTTTATGGTAAATAAAAAGTTAGCTGAGCGAGCAACAAATTTTATCACCATAAAAAGAAAAATGAATACCATCTTTACAAAACATACCAGCACTAAAATTAACGTTTAGATTGGGGGAAACATTTCGGATTATTGAGTGGTAAAAATGTATTAGTAAGGCGAAACAAATGTTTATTTGGAGCATCAAGTTTTCTGTTTATGATGTGATTATTTGCAGAGAGCATGGTACTTGGGAGATTAATCACATTTGGGTTAAACTTATGAATTACCAATTTTATTAAAAATCTCAAATTTTTAGCAAAATCTGAAACAGTAGATGAGTTATCAATAGAGCAGGCTACTGAAGTAACACAATTCAGTTTCTGCGAGGGGTAGCGCAAGACAGTAGCTGCAAGGTCGGCTAGTTTTGCACCTCTGTACGAGTGAACCGTGGTTCCGACATCTTTGGGGCTGCAGTACTTAGCCCTTGAGGTTCTTATTACCAGTTTCCTGTTCCACTAGAGTAGCCCCTTCGGTCTGTACTTCGGCACGGATATTCAGTAAACAGGGTACAAAAGAGGCAAAACAAGAGAAAGAAGAGATTGTATAATGGATTGTAGAAAAATGAATTTTAAAAACAAATAAACAAAAAAGAAATGAAAGCGATTACAACCTGTTTTTTCACGGGTGGAGGCTCCGGCAGAGATGTCCGAGTAGAGAAGAGCATGGCTGCTTGACGAGCTTGTCTCTGAAATCCCGTCTCGGGCCTTCTTCTTACAAGCGTATCTTTATGAGCGTATCTTATCACATGAAACTTTTGGGTGCCGGACATCAAGCCGACGGAACTTCAAGCCGAATCGTAAAATTAGGGACTTCAAGCCGAAAATTTTCTCTCTAAGTCATGAAATATGATTAATTTGAAATTTTTTTTGCAAAATTTTTCAATTTCATGATCTTTATTCGGTACTTACTAGCGTTTTCATCAAATTTAAGCCTCCAAATGATGTTTTGGAAAGTTGAAAAATAAAACACGGTTGAAGGTAATTTTCTTGTTTATAATTTATGCATTTCAAAAACCGGCTGATATTTTTAACGGATGCCAAAACTCAAGTGGTTCATTGTCATAAACAACGCTTATTATGGAGTAAAATAACCTACGATTTTGCCAAGCAACGTTTTACAGATGGAAAAATATTGATTTGAGGTGCTTGTAAAGTTTAATTTTCGGCCTGAAGTCCCATCGGCTTGAAGTCCCGTCGGCTTGTTGTCCTAGACCCGAAACTATTTAATAACTTTATCCCAACAGTTAGGCTAAACGGTTTCTGCTTAGGTGCTTTTGGCTTTGTTTACCGCTTGGTGCAGTCGGACATTTTTCTGTCTTTGCGCTTTTTTTTTCAAAACTAACTTTATTCAATTGCTTATAGAGAGTTGCAAAAAGTTCGGACAGACAGAATTAATTAAAAAGAACAACTGTCTAGACATCAACGGAAATTAAAACTGAAATAAACATAGCGGCGAAAGTTTATAAAGCAGAGTTTCGCTCAAAACCTATATCATTGGCGGGCAATTGCATCCGAAGGATCGAATAGTCAACCTTGAAACAGGAAAGTTGTTGCTCAGGGTGGTTAATATTTTTCTGCGATTAGTTTCAAATTTTGAATGATTTATTCATCTTCACTTCCGTTTTATTGGGGCGGCCTAATCTGTGTTTTTTGTTGAAAATATTTCTGGGTTTCGATTTTTAAATTAATTTTGCTAACTATTTTATAGTGAATCTGGATGTTCATCGCAGTATTTAAAAATTAGGCTAGTATAATCATCGTATAATCGACGATCTCGCATTTTGAATTTAGTCTGACGAAAAGTTCAAGGTTGTTCGGCTTCAGGTTTAGCATGCAAAAAAGCGTCCGAAAGCACTGATTGCTCAATTTAATTAATTCTGTCTGTCCGAACTTTTTGCTACATATTATACATCTAGCGTTTTTCGACTTTTTAAAAAATTTTTACGACATTGGTTGTTGTTTTTAGTCCCTGATGATTTCGGCCTGTTTTGTTGGCTTAGTGGCATTACATGGTGTCTTTTGATGACCGAAGAAAATGTTTTTGTGCGTGTATGGTTATTTTGAGGGGGAGGGGGACTCGAATTAATTTGGAAATGCAATTAAAGTGTTAAAATCATTTTATCAGGTTTTATATTTTTTTGGCTTAAACGGTTTCTGCTCAGGTACTTTTGGCTTTGTTCACCGCTTGTTAAGTTTTTTTTCAATGCAGTTGTACATTTTTTTGTCTTTGCATATTTTTTTTCAAAACTAGCTTTATTCAATTGCTTACATCTAGTGTTTTCGGCAGTGCCGGAGTTTTTCGACTTTTTTTATTTTTTACGATTGTATCTAGACAGGCTATTAATGAAACTCATTTGATCTATGGTTAATTTTGTTTTGTTTTCTACTGATGACAACAGCTGCTGGTTCAGTAATTCTATGAATTGGAAACCGGGCTTGTTCTTGCTTAGAACTAAGAAGCGCGGTTTCTAGTTAACGACATTTTGATGTATGTCGCTTATTTTTTTTTCACGTTCTTGATCAATAAGTTTTCAGGAGTCGATGGGGGCTGCAGTGATTGCTGGAGGCGATGGATTAGGTTTTGTTGCGTTGGGCAGTACGTTTATTTCGGGTGTTGCCGAAGATGTTGTGATGGGTGCTGTGCTTGTTGGTCTGTTGGTAGAGTTAAACCATTTTGCAAGGTTTTCGGGGTGCATTGCATGCAGGAGAACCCATCGTTTTAAAATTTGCTGCTCTTTAGCCCGCTACATGTGACATGGATGTATGCTTTGCAATTGATACACCATATGCCTACTTTTTGGAGGTGGCGTTTGCAAATATGGCAGTTTGTTTTATCGGCCATAATTTGGCAACGTGGAGGGTAATTTTATGGTAAATAAAAAGTTAGCTGAGCGAGCAACAAATTTTATCACCATAAAAAGAAAAATGAATACCATCTTTACAAAACATACCAGCACTAAAATTAACGTTTAGATTGGGGGAAACATTTCGGATTATTGAGTGGTAAAAATGTATTAGTAAGGCGAAACAAATGTTTATTTGGAGCATCAAGTTTTCTGTTTATGATGTGATTATTTGCAGAGAGCATGGTACTTGGGAGATTAATCACATTTGGGTTAAACTTATGAATTACCAATTTTATTAAAAATCTCCAATTTTTAGCAAAATCTGAAACAGTAGATGAGTTATCAATAGAGCAGGCTACTGAAGTAACACAATTCAGTTTCTGCGAGGGGTAGCGCAAGACAGTAGCTGCAAGGTCGGCTAGTTTTGCACCTCTGTACGAGTGAACCGTGGTTCCGACATCTTTGGGGCTGCAGTACTTAGCCCTTGAGGTTCTTATTACCAGTTTCCTGTTCCACTAGAGTAGCCCCTTCGGTCTGTACTTCGGCACGGATATTCAGTAAACAGGGTACAAAAGAGGCAAAACAAGAGAAAGAAGAGATTGTATAATGGATTGTAGAAAAATGAATTTTAAAAACAAATAAACAAAAAAGAAATGAAAGCGATTACAACCTGTTTTTTCACGGGTGGAGGCTCCGGCAGAGATGTCCGAGTAGAGAAGAGCATGGCTGCTTGACGAGCTTGTCTCTGAAATCCCGTCTCGGGCCTTCTTCTTACAAGCGTATCTTTATGAGCGTATCTTATCACATGAAACTTTTGGGTGCCGGACATCAAGCCGACGGAACTTCAAGCCGAATCGTAAAATTAGGGACTTCAAGCCGAAAATTTTCTCTCTAAGTCATGAAATATGATTAATTTGAAATTTTTTTTGCAAAATTTTTCAATTTCATGATCTTTATTCGGTACTTACTAGCGTTTTCATCAAATTTAAGCCTCCAAATGATGTTTTGGAAAGTTGAAAAATAAAACACGGTTGAAGGTAATTTTCTTGTTTATAATTTATGCATTTCAAAAACCGGCTGATATTTTTAACGGATGCCAAAACTCAAGTGGTTCATTGTCATAAACAACGCTTATTATGGAGTAAAATAACCTACGATTTTGCCAAGCAACGTTTTACAGATGGAAAAATATTGATTTGAGGTGCTTGTAAAGTTTAATTTTCGGCCTGAAGTCCCATCGGCTTGAAGTCCCGTCGGCTTGTTGTCCTAGACCCGAAACTATTTAATAACTTTATCCCAACAGTTAGGCTAAACGGTTTCTGCTTAGGTGCTTTTGGCTTTGTTTACCGCTTGGTGCAGTCGGACATTTTTCTGTCTTTGCGCTTTTTTTTTCAAAACTAACTTTATTCAATTGCTTATAGAGAGTTGCAAAAAGTTCGGACAGACAGAATTAATTAAAAAGAACAACTGTCTAGACATCAACGGAAATTAAAACTGAAATAAACATAGCGGCGAAAGTTTATAAAGCAGAGTTTCGCTCAAAACCTATATCATTGGCGGGCAATTGCATCCGAAGGATCGAATAGTCAACCTTGAAACAGGAAAGTTGTTGCTCAGGGTGGTTAATATTTTTCTGCGATTAGTTTCAAATTTTGAATGATTTATTCATCTTCACTTCCGTTTTATTGGGGCGGCCTAATCTGTGTTTTTTGTTGAAAATATTTCTGGGTTTCGATTTTTAAATTAATTTTGCTAACTATTTTATAGTGAATCTGGATGTTCATCGCAGTATTTAAAAATTAGGCTAGTATAATCATCGTATAATCGACGATCTCGCATTTTGAATTTAGTCTGACGAAAAGTTCAAGGTTGTTCGGCTTCAGGTTTAGCATGCAAAAAAGCGTCCGAAAGCACTGATTGCTCAATTTAATTAATTCTGTCTGTCCGAACTTTTTGCTACATATTATACATCTAGCGTTTTTCGACTTTTTAAAAAATTTTTACGACATTGGTTGTTGTTTTTAGTCCCTGATGATTTCGGCCTGTTTTGTTGGCTTAGTGGCATTACATGGTGTCTTTTGATGACCGAAGAAAATGTTTTTGTGCGTGTATGGGTATTTTGAGGGGGAGGGGGACTCGAATTAATTTGGAAATGCAATTAAAGTGTTAAAATCATTTTATCAGGTTTTATATTTTTTTGGCTTAAACGGTTTCTGCTCAGGTACTCTTGGCTTTGTTCACCGCTTGTTAAGTTTTTTTTCAATGCAGTTGTACATTTTTTTGTCTTTGCATATTTTTTTTCAAAACTAGCTTTATTCAATTGCTTACATCTAGTGTTTTCGGCAGTGCCGGAGTTTTTCGACTTTTTTTATTTTTTACGATTGTATCTAGACAGGCTATTAATGAAACTCATTTGATCTATGGTTAATTTTGTTTTGTTTTCTATTGTCATTGCGGTTTAAAAAAGTTTCAGACAATTTATTTTGTTGTTCTCGAACAAGCTTGGGAAGCGTTTTTATCGCTCAAAAACTACGCGCAGCCTTAAGTAAGAATTTGAATGTAAGATTTGATTCGCACGGCTTAAAAGCAAAATAAAACGGCCTGGAGTTAGACAAATTGATCAGATCATGTCCAACTTGGCCTTGAAATTCTTTTGTGATTACTTTTGTAGGTAGTCTTGATGTAGTGTTTGTTCTGTCAAAAGCATGACTTGCTGTGCTGACTGTGACTGCCCAGGTTAGTTGTCTTTCAAAAATCAGTTTGATCAAATGAATAACTTATGTTTTTTTGTAATATTATGTGTTTAGTCGCTGACTGGGTTTCACTGAACAAATGCGTTGTGCTATGCAGTGAGTGTGCATCAGTTCACAGAAGTTTGGGAAGCCATATTTCGTATGTTAAGCCAATGATGCTTCTTAAAAACTCGGCTCAGTTCAAGGTAGGTCTTCTTGCAGATCGCAAATTGACTTTGCATCAAATCAGGGTTGCTTTACTATGGAATGGCAAATATTTCTTGATGGGATCTATTACGATGAAATTTTGATTTTTAGCTGGTGGAAGCAATTTGCAAGAGCAATGGAAATGCTGTGTGGGAGGAAAATATATCAAAAGCCATGTCTAAAAACCAGAAGAAACCATCGAAAGATGATAAAATGTAAGTACACAATCAAGCAATTTTTGCGATTTGCTTCTTCGAGTAGACAATTAGAAAACATTCTGTGATTTGTTTCAGAACAGCAAAGAGTGATTTCATTCGGGCAAAATATGCGGGATTAAATTTTGTAAAGAGAACCGAAGATGTACTTTCACCATCAGAACTGAGCAAAGTAAGTCGAGTTCGACAACAAAAAGAAAATGACTTGACCTATTGATGCTAGTTATCTTACTTTCAGACTCTTCAAATAGCTGTGAAGACACCTCATTTGGAGTCGACACTGAGATGTATCATAATGGGTGCCAATGTCAACATGAAAAATGGGGTAATTAGGTTTAGTTTAAAATTTAAAAAAATTGCTGAAATCGAACATTTTTGTCTGGCAAATATAGTTAAGGTAATCAGTGCCCGTTATTGGTAGCTCGGCTTTGTGATCGAGGCTCCGCTGGTAAGCAATGTGATGTTATTTGAAGACTTTTAAATTCTAATAAACGATAAGATCACTGGCTCCGCATTAGGGCATCGTCAATGTGTGCTCATTAAATGCAAATAACTTAATGTATTATGAAAGTTTGTTGATTGCTGAGGCGTTCTGTTTTTCAGTTTAACCGGAACACATTTGAAGTGTTTTTTTTTCTTAGATGACGGGAATGGCTCCTCTGCATCTATCCGCTCAATCGGGAGTTGAGATCCAAGTTGAGCTTCTCGTTCTAAATGGGGCAGATGTGTGTGCGACTGACTTCGAGGATCGGCTGCCTGAACAGGTTGCCAAAGACTACAGGAAACTGGGCCTGGCCGCTAGATTGACAGAGTTGAGATATCAAGTGACAGACAAGCTGACGTATTTCATCTCTGCTCAGCGACCCAGTTAGTCAATTTTATCAGAAAAGACAGACACTGAGGGTAAAATTTTCGAGCTTAAAATTGAAATGTTTTGACCACAAAATTTGAATTCTTGAATTTTACAAAAAAAATGGTTGAAAATTAATTCAATTTATCAGCAAAGTACATGACTTTCCGAGATCTTGAATGCTTGAATCAATCGGAATTTGTCAAAATTGTTTAAAAAATCTCAATTCGCAATAATATTGTAGATAATTTAAATAGTACGCATTAAAAAATTGTTAAAGCTGAATTTCAAAAAAAACTGTTAAAGCTGAATTGGGCAATATGGGTAATTTTTAGAGCATGCGAAAGGGGAGCATATATTGATTCCGAGGCTGAAAGAATCGTCCTGCGATTCAGCCCAGTTGATGAAAAACGCTATCGAGAAGCTACAATCGGTGAGTTGGTTTCGTTTTTTTCTGGAGAATTATTTTTAATTTGGAAAGCATGTTTTTTGTTAAACCACTGAGGTTATTATTTCGATAACAGCATATGGAAATTCGGATTGCATGTAAATATAGTTATGAAAACAGAAATCTAAATTAAGATATATCCTCAACTTATCGCGGCCATGGTGCGGTAGAATTCCTGCTAACTTGACGAGATTATTGTCGGGTGATATATTACAATAGCTGGCATATTTAAGTCAGATAGCTGGATCGCTCTTTGTTATACTTCGAACAGTTTATCATTAACTTCTAATTCAATTTTTTGGTAAAAGAAAGGTAAAATTTGATTTTTTTGCATAACATTTCATCTGGCAGAGTAATATATTTACAAAAACTATCTTAGTAGCATGTACGAAATCAAACGACCAGAATATTCATAAGAGTTCTCAAATTTAATACACGCACAATCCAAATATTTCTCCAAATTAACACCTTTTGTAACATATCACCCAATGGCGATCTACAAGTAATGCGAAATAAACGTTCGATAAAGTTTCCGCGAAAGTATTTCCTTTGCGGCTTTGGCTTCATGGGTGAGGGCTGTTGCGAGGGTTTATACTGTAATTGAGGCTTAAGAAATAAGTTTTTATTAAGAATCGATGAACGTAATTCGGACTCGGATATTGGTCGCGATAATTTCTTTTCAGGAAAGTCTTTACCCTTGCGATAAGCAGGAGTATTGCAATGGGATACAAGACTTTTTCCCGTAAACAACTTTGTCCACAGTATCTTCACTTCTAGAGAATCTGACATGCTCAATTTCAAGTAAAAAACTATCATTTTGCTAGTAATTAGTTCAAGCCCGTTTCAAGTTGTAATTATCTTTTCCAAAAAAATCCCATTTTATTGGGTACCTGGTTTTCGTCCTTGATTCTGTCCGTTCAATTTCCTTTTTTAACGGCTTTTTTATCTGGTAGGGTTTTTTTGGTTTACTTTTTAAAGAATGGGTTTTGTTACTATAACTAAAACTCCACAAATTTGTAAATTTACCATGTCTGATTGTGAGTTTTTTCATTTTTTCTTTCTTTTTTTTTTTAACAGAGTCAACATAGTCAATTTTTTTGCATAATTTCGAGGGCAAAATATGTTCGTTTTGAATTATGTGTTTCAGTTTGGATGGGTCGTGAAAACTTTAAAATTTAATGATTGTTTTTTATGATAACAGTTTTTTTTTCGGCTCAAAAGGTTTCGACTCAAAGTTTGTCGCCTTTGTTCACGCTTGGTAAATGATTTCCATTTTTAAGGACTTTTTATGAACTGCTTCTGATACAAACAGGCTTCTGTTACAAATGAACTGCTTCTGTTACAAATAAACTGTTTCTGTTACAGTAACAGAAGCAGTTGTCTCTGAACTGCTTCTGTTACTGTTTTTGTAGCTGTAGTTTATCAACTTTTCTCAAGTAATTTTTTTCAACATAATTTTAGTATTTTTTTACTTCTGTTTTTTTTTCATTCACTAGTTTGTAACCCAATGTGTTTTTAGACAAGCAAAGCTTGTGTTATAGTATGAACATTTTTTTCGAACCTAAGTCGCAAATATTGCTACGACACAATGTGTTCTTTTTGAAAGTATTCATTTTGATCAATAACCAGCTATTAAGTACAGCCAATGCTAAGGATATTGATTTTAATACAGACTATTATATTACAAATAACACTTTAGCTTCAAGGTATCATGTATCTGTAGCGTAGAAGTAGGGAAGGAGACCCACGACAAAATAAAAGGGTTCGAACCTCAGCAGGGTCGGATGTTTTCAATGAACTTTTTCGTACACTAGTTAAAATGCCTCCGCTCTATAAATTGAGGCATTTTAGTTGGTAAATTTTTTTTTTTTTTTTCAAAACTGACTGGTACTGCTAAAGCGTCATAATTGGCTTGCGTCACTTAGCAATTATGTAGACTCATAATTGGCGTGCATAATTTTGCAGACTCAAACTTTTACTCATTCAATATTTCCCAGTTGCGTTAACGTTCACATTTTTGGTTGTGTATGCGAAGTGCAACTTCGCCTCTTTGTTTACATGGGAAGTCTTGTGAAGCTCGGCTTCGCCTCTGTGGAAAGTTTTTTTTTCGGCTCAAATTTGCTTTTTCGTGGTGTTACTTTTGATTTGTTTTCAAGTTTAGTTTATTTCCATTGTTAAAAGGAAGGTAAAGTCCACAATCGAACAGCAGAAAGGAACTTCGAAAGTTGAGATTTTTTCAAAGAAGTTCGGTCTTTTGTTTACTTGCGTTCATTGAATCTTTTCCAAATGTCTGTTGGCCATGTTTTAGCTGAGTGATGAGCAGTTTTGTGATCTAGTATCTGATCTGTTTGACGAAGTGGAGCGTCGGGAGGTGGATGGATACCTGGTGTCCAGTTCCAACGACCCCTTCGAGCAGCCCAACATCAACATCGTGCCTTTCCTGCCCCTCAACCCTAGCTTCTCTTCCACCCGTAACCAGGTGAAACCCTTAGAAAATCAGGAGATTTAGTATCTAATAAAACAGTCAGTTTTTAACCGTAATAGCATTTAAACATTTCAACAGCTAAGTTTCAGAAAGTTTCAATAAACTTCATCTGCTCGACTTTTGTTTAATTTTTTATTTAGATTTGAAAAATTAAGACACTATAAATTCTTCAATATTGAGACCTTAATAATTCTTAAGGATTACGTTGCGACCTTAAGATCCCAATTGTTTTGTCTATCGATGTAATTACGAGCCCTTGAAGCATTTTAAAACTACAAGTCTCACGACGCTGTATCAATGGGGGGATGTGTGGTTTGTGTGTGTATTTAGAGTTCTTATTGAAGGAAGTTTAGAGCGTTGAAAAGAAATGAAATGAAGATTGGTCATTTCATTCAGACCAAAAATGACGTCAATAATGTAAACTATCGAATAATTTAGAGCCACCCGATTAAGTTTTTGACACTAATTATACTGTAACTCATCTGTTACTGAAAAAATTGCAAATGATTGTTGTGTTTAGAGCCGCCAGAAGCTGGCCCGATTCAATTCTCGCGAGTTGAACACTTTCATACGAGACGTGCTAATCGAAACAAGACGAAGACAGATGCAGTTGCAGCCAGAACAAATTGATCTAACAACAGGAGGTAGGGCTCCTTCTTTTGTGTTTATTGCTGTTGTTGTTTAATTACCTAATTAAGAGTAATGAACGTTGTGAGTACTCGTATATAGGTCTTGCTGATTTTTTTCTTTTTGTTTTTCAGAAAAAGTCTTAGAATCTGTTCACACTCAATTTTGATTTTTCGCGGTTTGACTTGTCATTTCTTTTTAAGTTCAGTGCATTTCTACAGTGCTGATTTTAATTATGCGTACAAAACTTGAATTTTCAAACGCGTTTTTCTCATTTTGGGTTAAAAATAGACAAAAGTGATGCGAAGAAAAGTTGATTAGAATTTCATCAGAATTAATATTGTGCAAGTTTTTCTCCTAAATTCTCAACCAAAATTTTTTTTCTACCCCAAAAATGGGCCACGTTGGGTTTTTTCAATTAATCAAAAGTTACGCTGAAAGTGCTTGTTAATTGATAAGGAATATATATCACAAGAAGCCTCTTACACAGCCCAATAAAGTTTCAGAAAGGTTAAATCCCCAAAATTTAGAGTAAATTGTTAACAATTTGTTTTAAAGCAAAAATTTTGTGTTTTGTGAAGTAATAATTGCTTGACTATCAAGCAAAAATATTTTCTCTTCTACGGGTTTTTGGTAACCCAGCTAGAACTTTGTTGGGCTGTGTAAGAGGCTTCTTGTGATATATATTCCTCATCAATTAACAAAGTAGTTTTAGCGCAGTTCTTGATTAATTGAAAAAGCCAAAATGGACCATTTTCGGGTAAAATTTTAGTTGCGAATTTTGGAGGAAAAAATTCACCATATTAATTCTGATGAAATTCCAAGCAACTTTTGTTCTCGTCACTTTTGGTCTAATTTGAACCCAAATTGAGAAAAACGCGTTTGAAAATTCAAGTTTGGTTCATTTTGTCCGGATAATTTAAATCAGCACTGCATTGTTAAACGGAAGGCAAATTCCACTATCGAACAGCAAAATGTAAAGGCCGCGAAAAACGTGTTCAACTTCTAATTTCGAAAATGGAAATTAATTATCAGATTTCCCAGCGAAAGAAATAAAAGTTTTACCTATTGATCCAGTTTTCTCAAACGGGATTAATTTTTAACATAAAAGTGTCCATCATAAGTTGTTCTACAAATTCAAAGAGCTTTAATGCCATCTATTTTTTTCCTTCAAAATTCAAAAGCAGAGGATTTTTTTCAGTTTCCTTGCGTTCATTAATCTTCCAAATGTCAGTTGGCTGTGTTTTAAAATTGCTTTTCATGGTCCTAGGGGCCGTTATGTTACCATAGATTGTGGCAAGTCCCTCATCTGTAACCTCCTTAAGTTTTGTTGACCGTAAGTTAGCTGATAAAGCTAATTTGAAAATGTGTTCTTTTGTTTTATTTGGCTCCCAACCTTTCTAATTGCACTATAGAGGTTTTCGCTAAACTGTCACACTTTTTGAGGAATCAGGTCTCTTTGAAAAGTGGCTTTTTGAAAATTGCTTCCTTTAATTGCATGAGAAAAAGAATCTGACTTTCCTTGTTGTAGTGAACTAAAACTGTTCGTAAATATTTTCTGCCCTGAAATTGAGTAAATAATTAAAATATATTCCTGGATTACACCGTCTCAATTTCAATCTATGTCTTTGACCCACTAGTATGCGTAGACTGGTAGGCAGGCAAAAGGATATTTGTGGTTATCTTGAAGGAGTTTATAACCAGACTGCTGCAAAGAAGTATTTTTGTTTATCAATATCAGCTTGCGCCTACGCCACCAATCGCCTACACAGGTCGAATAATTATGTCAGACGAGAAATTGTGAATTAGATTTTGTTCAAGTCGAAAACATGCATTTCCCATGAGTGGATTTCTAATTTATTGTAGAAATTACATGAATCTGTTTAAGATGGTTTTTCGATGCCCAAATTCTGTAGAAAGTAATATTTAAAAAAAATGTCTATCAAGAAATAGTTTTTATCGACATTATTGAAGCTAGATAGCCTTTTTCTGACAACGAAAGGAGACATCAAAAAAGAACTAAGGCCTTCGAAACTTGAAATTTATTAAGGAGATTTTCGCGATCGAGATATTTTGCTTTTGGTGTCTTTTTATGCGTCGTTGATTAAGGGAAGTATTCTGGCTTTTGAGAAATTCTCGAGATTTTTTGTGTCATTTTTTCTTGAGAGTTTTATTCTGGGCGTTTGCAAACTCTGCCTTTGTAAGAGATCACCCTTAGGTAAATGTCAATACTATAACTTTTTATTTATTTAATACTCAGTTTCTCGTGGATTTCCAAAAGGGGTCCCGGCGCTTTCATAAAAAAATATCAAATCAGTTTATATAAAATTTTTGTGAAATTTAGACTAGGTAAAAACATCACCAGGTTTTTAGTAATTTTTTAATGGTTTGAGAATTCGAAATTTTGAATCTAACTAGTTAGTATAATTACATTCCAACTTTTTTCTTGTTGCGACCATCGGAGAAAAAGCCGGAAAAGTGCTCGGGGTACTTTTCAACTAGCCATTTTTTGACGGAATCTGTACCATGTGAAAAATATTGGCGCCCGAAGCTCAGATTCAGAAAGTTTTTTTGATAATTTTAAAGTTACGGGGTCTTAAAATGGCCATTTTAAGATCCGATATATGTCGCCCTATCAAATTATATGTGACGTATTTACGCTAGCGTAGCGTAGTGTGACAGTGCGATCCAATCTAAGTTGCAAATAAATGTGCTGCTTTTAGTGGCACTTTTTTTGCAAATGTGAGAGTGCTGGGGTTTTTTTAGGGCATGAGCCTGTATTGGCAATATAACACAATGTAGTTTGATTTGTAATAAGTTAACACAGTTAATGCTTTTTAAATTCATCAGTTGAACCGATAAAAACTATTTATTTCATATAACATATTAATAATTAAAATTGGGTTTCTGAAGTTTTCCAACAATATCTTTTGCAAGATTTCTGAAATGCATAGTTTATACGCATTTTGGCTGTATAATTTCCATTTAATTACATGCATGGTTAGTGTGCTTGCCTTAAGCTTATAATATTTCAATTTATTGTTCCGACTTTTGATACGAAAGTAACGGAATATTTGTGCTTGGGGTGGGTTATTTTTTCTTCAGACAAATTTCGACTTTTTAACTAGCCATTTTTGACGGATTTCTTTTTTATAAATTTCGAAAGGTATTGTTGTCCTGAGCTCAAATTTGAAAAGATATTTCACCTGTGATAATTTTTCATAAAGTTACGGGGGTTTAAAAATTGCTATATTTCGCGCTATTAACGCGTAAGCGGAGAATTAATCCGTCTTAGAAATTGTTCCAAATTGGTTGAAAGAAGCTTATTTGCCATAATTGGTTTGTTGCAAGGAGCGAAATCTGAGGGGTGATGATTTTCATAAAAAATTTCAAATTTTGGAGTTTTTTTTTCATTTTGTTTTAGTTCATTGAATTTTTTAATGTTATTACTGCTCCATAAACCTTAAAAGGCAGTCGGAACATTCAGGGCTTCGCCCTGATACGAGCAGTCTTGTTACAATTTGTTTTTGTGAAATTTGAAGCTCCTTTCTGCCGCCTGTCTTTGATTACTATTAGCGTCTTTGGCGCAATAAAGTTGGGTAGTCAACTGGAAAACATAAATGTCTGAAGACAGGATTGATTCTCGTAGAGGTCAAGTTTATTTTAAATTCAATTGGTTTTTTTACACTTTGAGAGCTATTTCTTTACGTTTGTCGCTTGTGATAAGCAAGCGTTGTCAAACTGGAATCTAGGCTTTTTTCTAGTTAACAACTAGTTTAACAGAATGACTTGAACCATTTGATAGCTTGCTCTGTTAATGAAGTTAATTTGCATGAAAATGTGGGTCCAGTAATGTGGTGGTAATGAGCGGGGCTATTTCGCGAAGATCAAGCGTTCGAATCCGTGATCATGCCAGTTTTTCTGATTCTTTTAACGTAGTTCAGTCTCTTATATAGGTCGCGATGATTTTTTTTTCAGGAAAGTTTTCCGCGGTTTGTCTTTTGATTTCAGTTCAGTTCGTTCTCTTTATTAAAGGAAGGGAAACACCACTATCGAACAGCTGAAGTGTAAAGGTCACGAAAAACGTTATTGACTTCTAATTTTAAAAATGGAATTTAATTATGAGATTTCCCAGCGGAATAAAAACTTAATAAAGGGCATCTTTTAAAAAAAATTCGAAACAACCGTTTTTTTTTCATAAAAACAAGCCAGTATTTTTTTTTCTGTTTGTTTGCGGTCATTGACTCTTTTCCAACTGTTTGTTGGCTATGTTTGTTTTTAAGAGTAATGAACGTAGTGAAGACTCCTATATAGTTTTCGCTGAATGTTTTTGCTTGCTTTTTTCAGGAAAAAGTCTCAAAGTATTGATGCAGTTAGGTATAATGCTCTTTTTGAGTTCAATTGAAATTCATCTGCTGAAAGTGACGTTACCTATTGATCCAGTTTTCTCGAGTTGGGTTCTTGTTATCAAAAAAGCGCCGATCAAAAATTGTTCTAGAAATTCAAAGAGCTTAAAATGCATCTGTTTTTCCTTTGAAATTCGAAAGTTGAGTTTTTTTTTTTCAAGAAAGTCAGTGTTTTTTATGTTTATTTGCGTTCATTACTCTTTTCCTATCTTCGAATAACGTTTTTTTTTTCGATTTCATTTTTTGTGGCGTTTTCTATTCGCTAACTTGCAATGCTGCGCTTGCGTTGTATTGCAAGTGATTCGAAGCTCCGATTCACTTATGGTTTTACATTGCGTTTGTTTTGTGGTGGCGAAACATTGCGTGAGTGAGATTTGTCAGCATAATGAAAACAAAATTCCAGACTTTCAATTTATTTTCTTCTGTTGTTTTTCTGAAAATCCGCCAAATTGATCCTTACTTAAGTGCAGTCGGCATTTTTAAGAATTGATGAATTTAATAGAGACCCTTATATAGGTCTTGGTGTTTTTTAAGTGTTTTTTTTTTAGGAAATTGTCTTAAAATTCTCTAGGAAATACAGATGTGCATTCATACATATTACCGCTTTTATGAATGCCCTTTGATATATAGGCTATTTTTGAGTTCAATCTATACAATATTTAATTGGCGTTTCATATGACACATGTTTAAGAAGTCCCCATGATGACATGTTTAAGCAGAGTTATTTTTTGCATGTTTAACGAAAGATTTTTTGCACGCTTAAGCTGTATCGTATATTGTAATGCTTAAGAATTTTAATTTGGCACATGGTAGAGAAGTCACTTCGTTGGTGTGCTAAAAGGCCGAAACCTTGCAGGGTTTGGAATGTTTACTCAAGTCGACGTTAAAAGATCTATTGGAGAGCGAATGCTTTAACTCTACATTTTTCCGAAATTCGCAATGTAAAACTATAAAAACAATTTTGATCAACAATTTATTTAACCACTTTGAAATTCTCAACTTCATAGTGGAGGTGCTGTCAGAGTACACTTAGGGCTTGCAAATATGGCGTTCAAGTGTGGTTGCTCAAATCCTTTAAGATTCCAGATGTGGCGATTTTTAAGGATTTTTTTTTTCGAAAACTTAGATATTAAACCAAAATAACAGAACTTGAAATTCTTAACCCTGAGGTGGAGTCCTGTCAGTTATATATCGGCATTTTAGAAATGGTTTTCAAAATTTGGCGTTTTTTTTTAAATTAGAAACCCCTGGTAGATGAGCAGTTCATCTTCACGGTTGCATTAAATGTCGCTGTATAAGTACATGTTTTAGGAAGCTCTTTTTGAAGCACCGTAATTGCGGTTCATGTGCTAGTTAAAATTCATATGCTCAAAGTGAGGTAAATTGCACACTGCAAATACAAAAGTGTAAAGGTCATGAAAAACGTGATTGACTTTTACTTTCGAAAGTGAATTTTCATTTCCAGAGTTCCCAGCTGAATATAAATGTATTTTATTAATCCAGTATTCTCAAAATGAATTAATTTCATCCAAAAAAGGTCAAAATATTTTCATACTGAAATTCAGAGATTAAGATTCGTCCTGAATCTTAATTGCTTTTCTTTCTTGCTCTATTATTGAACCTTAACAACTTCCAGGATTGTTCCTACTTGGCTTAGAGGTAGATTTTTTTTGCACACTTAGGTTGAGGGTTCGAGTCCCAGCGGCACCTTGTTTTTTCAGTATGTATGAAATTGAAACTGTTTTCTGGTAAAAATTGAATTGTCGAACTTTCGTTTGTTGCTCAAATTTTGTCGGCTTAGTTGCCGCATCATAGATGTTTCTTGTGCTTTAAGCAGTTTTTGAGAGCAATGAACTTAGTGAAGACTCTTATAAAGGTCTTGGTGTTTTTTGTTTTTTTTTCAGAAAAAATTTTTAGTTTCCGGTTTGACTTGTGAGTTCTTTTCAAGTTCAGTGCATTTCCCTCGTTAAAAGGAAAGCAAGCTCCACTATCGACCAGCAAAAGTATAAAGGTCACCAAAACGTGATTGACTTCTAATTGCGAAAGTGGAATTTAATTATCAGATTTCCCAGCGAAATAAAATCTTTACATATTGATCCATTTTGTTTCATTGTGCTTTTAGATAACTTGAAATTAATTTTTTTTCGGCTCAACTGGTGTCTGCTTAAAAATTGTCGGCTTTATTTCCACTTTGCCAGTTTTTTTTCCGTTGCTTATTTAAAATTCAAATGTTTTGCTTGGCATATTTGCCCAGGTTGAAATTTCATTGAGACATACGAAAATTTTAGTCGAACTATTTTTTTCCAACATTTTTCATTTGTGTACTTCTATTGTTTTTTATGTTTGTGTTGTAATGTTGTGTCACCTCTGTGTAAGAATTGAATTGAGGCAAGTAGGGAGTCTTGTGAGTACGTTACTAAAAATTGTCCTTTTATATTTTACACGGAGGGATAAACCGACAAAAAACTCTAATTCTTAATTTTTTGTACCAAAAACTTTTTTGTCGACGTAAAGTCAGTCGGAGCAATCAGGACTTTGCTCAGATAAAAATTATTTTTAAAAATCTTTCTAGTTTATATAAACCATTAAAGACATTCATGAGAGATGGCGCTAGCGAAGGCGGTTGATTCATATTCTAGCGATCCGTTCTAGAGGTGGTTCGAACCTTTGCTGACTTAATTTTGGCTTTCATAATGAATTATGATACTACAATCACATGGGTAATCAAAACACATACCGTTTGGGTTCTCTCAAAATGTCTAGTTTTATTCATTAATTGTATGATAAAACCTACGATTTATTTGATCTGTGTTATCATGTAATTTCCTCTGATAGATTCGCAACCCACGTTTTTTTTCCTCGCTGAGTCTCTAAAACATGCGGTGGTCTGCCGGTCATGTTTGTCTAAGAGTCGATGAACGCAAACGCAGTTCAGACTCTTAACTAGGTCGTGATGATTTTTTGAAAAGTGTTTTAATAGGAAAAATAAAAATCTTAAAATTTGTTTCGGCTCAAATTTACTTTTTCGTGGCATGACTTTCGTTGAAAGGAAGGTAAACTCCACAAACAGCAAAAGTGGAAAGGTCACGAAGAACGTGATTGATTTCCTAATTTCGAAAATGGAATTTAATTTTCAGATTTCCCAGCTAAAAAATTTATCTGCTTCTACCCCAAAAATATGACCTTCCAGAAGTTGCTAGTTTTCGAGAAAACCCCGTTTTTGTAAAAATATGAAATTTTGCAAATACTTACAAAAATACTTGCTGCTTAAATAACTATCTATATTTACACATAAACGTTTTATGTCTCAGTCAGTATATACTGGGTAGACATTTAGTGGGCATCTAATTTGCCCTTAGTCTATTCTCTTCAGATAATACGTACGTTTACCAAAATTTAATTGCTTAATTTGTTTGATTTTTTTTGTAAATGTACTTGTATGTCTGAAGAAATAAATTGCTTCTTTCTTTCTTTCTTATCTATTGATCCAGTTTCCTCACATTGGGTAATTTTATCAAAAAATTATCAATCATAAATTCTTCAAGAAGTTCATAGAGCTTTAAGGCCATCTATTTTTTGCAAAGTTTTTTCTCGGTTTACTTGCGTTCTTTGACTCTTTTCCAATTTTCTGTTGGCTATGTTTCTGGATGCTAAATTTATAATTTAGGAATTATGTTTTCCATTTATAGATTGATTCCATGGCTATTTTTGTAAAGGAATTATCTATCTTACCTTGTGAAGAATCTCTTCTGAGTGGTATAAATCTCACAAATAAGAATATCGCTGTGAACCCCGCGACGTGTTTCCGGTCTATTTCAAGAGAGTTGTGGTAGTTTTTACTATATAATCTATAGTCAACGAATTAATGGAGTCAAATTCTCATGTGAACTTTTATATGTCATGTTTTAAGTAAATGAATTGCGTTAAAAGCTGGGTTTATTTTCAAATTATTGTGCCTTTTTCAGTTTTTCATGAAATGATTGAACGAAAGATTATCGCAGAATTTTTCTAGGGGGTGGGGGGGATTTTGAAAATGTTGTGGACCTTCTGTTTAGGTCGACCAATTTGTTTGATTTTCCGAGGTCTCCGAAAATACCATAAGGACCCTATTAGTTATATTGGCGCCGAAGGCGCCTTAGAAAAATTTTGAGTTGGTCAGCCAAAAATGGATGTCGTTAAGTTAAACCAAAGGGGGGACCCTTTGGAAAAAATAGGCAACCCGAATTGAGGGAGGGGGCGGTCGCCCTCCCCCCCTCGGCACGCTACTGGCATGTAATTAGTAAAACGGAGGTAGCTGCAACATCAGTTGGTTATTAAGATTTAGATACCACCTGGAAATTGAACTTTACTGCTGGTAAGGTTGTTAGTTGCCCGTAGGGGGCGAGCCATGCCGCCTAGTCTAAGGATTTTCGCCGCTGCGTTTCGGCCGGCTAGAGGCACAGTTCTAATGCGAGGGGGTTGGGTGAGTGGTTTGATGAAGCTCAGTCTAGTTTATGAGGAGCGCCTATTGCTTACAGATGTTGGCTTGTGATTAATTTCAATTTTGCCGGATAAATTAATTTGATTATAGAAAGGTAGAGTAATTCAACCAAAGTGGGATAGAGTATGTTGTGTAAAAGTAAATTGGTGTATTTGTAGAACTGCTCTACCAAGAAGACGATTATGAAGAGCCTTCTGCCTTCGCCCAGAATACTTCGCCTTTGCCCATGCACAAGTCAGGAGGTCCGAGAAGGCACTCAATCTCACATCAGAACTCAAACCACAACAACCAAACTTCGTCTGACGATTTCCAACCTTCGCATTCGCACGACAACAAACGCAGACCGAACAGCAAGTTAATCAACACCGGCTATAATCTGGAGTCGCCGAGTCAGGAGACACCACCGGAGGGGAGCAACCGTTTCTCACGGGTTAGTGTTGAGATACTTGGTAGTTTATAGTTTTTTATGTATGTATGTATGTATGTGTGTATGTATGTATGTATGTATTATAGATTCGGCACTGTGGGCCGGCGATTACTCCCTTAAACTAGAGTTTCGCTGTTCAAATTCTCCGAGTACTGGATATTAGTTCGTTATAGTTCGAGTTTAGCTCGTTGAAGATAAAAAGAAATACAAGATGTTAAAATCGAGTGTGACTAAAGCAACCGGTGTATAAGCCCGCCGAATTGCACAAAGTGTATAAATTAGCCGAAAGTTAACTTACCTATTGAATGATTCTATTGGAGGGCTACAATTGAATGATTTTACGCGTACAATTTGACCTGCCAAACCTCATTTAAAAAACATTCGGCGTCAATAAACTTGCAATTAGCGAATTGATAATCTCATACAAGGCAGTGTCAGGAATTAGCAGTATTTTAATTGCCAACAGCAATGTAATTTGCTTTTGGTACCGTACAATTTTCGATCTGCAATTTTTTGGGCTTAAGCGAACCGTGTATTTAATTGCATCCTAGACTCAAGGTCACCTGATTTGGCATACGATGTTGTCCAAAAGCTGACGCGATACACTCAAAATTATTCCTGAAAAATACTGAAAGAAATTAGTTTCCTTTAATTCACGCCGTGCGTTTTCTATTGTCTTGTTTTTTGCTAAATTTGTTCTCGCTGAAATTTATGGTTTGGAGATTTGTTTTTTTTTTATATTGACTTTAAATTGCTGTTTTATCAAAAAAAGGTACTGATTTATCATGTATTTGCTAATTGGGTTATTTTTTAATCAAAAATGGCTATCTCAAAAAGTTCAAGTTTTTCAAAAAAGCTTTTAAGTGATAATTTTTCTTTGCAGTTCGAAAATTAATTTTGTTTTCAAAAAAGTTGTTCATTTCTTTTCTTTCTGCTTCCCCGAGTTCGCTATCAGTATTCCAACTATTTGCTACTTTTTAAATTAGTGTACGCATACTACCTAGATACAAATGCCTAAGTTTGTGTTGGGCACAAAAATATCAAGACAAATTATTAAACAATAGATATTTTGGTTAAACAACGAAGTAATTGACAATTTTTCTAAAATTTGATTAATGAGCGTAGTGAAGGGGTCTTGGAAATTTTTTTGATTTTTTCCAGGAAAAATTTTTAATGCTCTAATAACTACAGAAGTGAATTAATACATTTACTTTATAAATGCACTTAAGCATATCTGCACTTAATGAGTTTAATTTAAATTTGTCAGCTAAAAGTCAGTAAATTGCGCTCACCAAATACGAAAACGAAAATGGCGCGAAAAATTATTAACTACTTCTAATTTTGAAAATAATTTTTGATTTTCAGATTTCCCAATGGTATGAAAATTGAGTCAATGTTACAAAAAAACGTTAATTATAAACTGTCCTAGAAGTTCAAAGTCCTTTAAGGCCATCTATTTTGTTCTTAGAAATTTTAATTGGTTGTGTTTGATAAGCAATTCTTTTCCCATGGATTTCGGTTTTTTTCTGAAATTGATTGTCTTTTTTTTGCATTTTCTAGTTTGTTTGCGCGTTTTTAGAGTTTTACCTTGTGTTTGCGAAGTACACCTTTGCCTGTAAAAAATTTTAGTTGTTGAAACGTTCGAATAATAAAATTGATCATTGAATTCAATTGATCTCAAATAAAAGGTCGCTCTTTAGTTTCAAAACGGAAATGGATGAAAACGCGTCATTGAAAGCTTCAAAATCTGACTATACATTGCTCATTAACTCATGCTTTCTGAAATTAGCTTAAATACCTTTGGTTATGTTACTTAAAAAATTTGGTTATTTCATACTGAATCCGTTCGCAAAAAAAATACGTTTTCTACGCAACCTATTCCAGCTATGAAACTATGAAATAGTTCTAGTTGTCTCAGACGAATAGGTCCTCGAAAATTTTTCTCTAAGCAAGCTATTCAAGTCTTAAATCTATGAAATATTTCAAGATTTTTCGTAGACTGACTCGTTTTTCGAAAATTGACTTTTTCTAACCAAGCTATTCAGGCTATGAAACTTTGAAACAAAATCAGTTCTTCGTAGACTGATTCAGTTCGCGAAAAAAATAGGTTTATCTTAGCAAGCTATTCAAGCTATGAAATTTTTCAAGGTGTCTCATAGACGAATCGGCTCGCAAAAATTTAAGTTTTTTTAAGCAAACTATTCGAGCCTCGCAACTTTTAAATATTTGAAGTTTTTTCTGGGCTGACTCGGTTCGCGAAAATTTTAAGTTTTTCTAGGCAAACTATTCAAGCTACGAAACTTTGAAACAATTTCAGTTTTTCGTAGACTGATTCGGTTCGCGAAAAAATTGGTTTATCTTGGCAAGCTATTCAAGCTATGAAACTATGAAATTTTTCCAGATGTCTCATAGACGTATCGGTTTGCGAAAAGTTCAAGTTTTTCGAGTAAACTAATCAAGCCTTGAAACTTTGTAATATTTCAAATTTTTCGTAGCTGATTCGGTACGCGCAAATTTTAACAAGTTTTGCTCAAGCAAATTTCTAAACTATGAAAATTTGAAATTTTTCCAGTTATTTTACAAAGCGAATCGGTTCATGAGAAGTTTTCTTTAAGCAAGGTATTCAAGCTACAAAAGTTGAAAGAGAATCGGTTCAAGAACAGTTAAAGTTTTTTTAGGCAAGCTATTGAGCCTATGAAACATTTCGAGTTGATGCGTAGACCGAATCGGTTCTCGAAAAGTTAAGTTTGGATCTACTTAACAATATGCCCCCCCCTAGCCCCCCCCCCCCCTATTGTATCTACTAAAGAATCTCCACCCCTGTAAATGAAGCAGTAAATTCACACTAGAGCGTTGTATGTAAATTCGAGTTTTGCTGCATTCTGATTGGTCGAAAATTCGCTGCAAGTAATCTACTTAACAATCCCCCCCCCCTTTCTTGAAAGGGGGGGGGGAGATTGTTAAGTAGATCCTTAAGTTTCTCCCAGCAACTTATTGAAGCTACGAAATTTCGAAAGAATGAGGATTATTTCATAGACTGAATCAATTCGCAAAAAAAAAACGTTTTCTACGCAAGCTATTGTAGCTATGAAACTTCGAAATTTTCCAAGTTATAGCTCGAATCGATTTGCTTAATGTTTGTTTTTAAGCATAGATGTTGCTGTTTATAGTTGATTCGTTTCAGACTGAAATAAATCTGTAACCGCATAATTTCTGACAAAAAGTGGGCAGGTACTGTCTAGCCTTGAAGTTGAATCTAGTTCATCTTGCTCTGGTTGATTCTTAAACGTTGCGCTTGGTACCCCCTTAACCATTGCTAAAACATGGCATTAACTTTTTTGCCATTCGTTTAAAATATAAGATAGGATTATCCATGTATTTAACCCCATTGCTCGTTCTTTTTGCCTTTTATTTCACCCCGCGTATTTGAGCTATCTGCGCGGCCGCTGCCAAGCCAACCACTGTTATATGTTTCCTGTCTTCTCACCCCTTCCAATTCCATTCTATATACAGAACTATATATCACATAGTTTCTCTCTATTTCCATTTCTGCCCTATGTTAGTTTCTTCCTTCCATTTCACTCCGCTTCGTTTTTGTTCATGCAATTTGACTTCTCGTTATACGTTTTCTCACTTTCTTATAGTACGCAATTTTCACCGTGCTTTTTTGTTTCGCCATTTTCAAGCATGTTTAGTCTTACTTAAAAGGCTTTCATTCCACCTCTTGAAACGAAAGATGCGTCTTATTAAGTGAAATTAAATATCACCAATTATTATTAATATTGCAAAAATTGTATTTGCAAATATATGCAATTTGGGTTTTTGAATTCTGAAATGATAAAATCTGAAATTTACTTCAATCGGTCCACGAGGGATAGACAAGTTCTAGTTGTTGATGGTTATGAGTTTTACCTGAAGCGGAAAAACAAAACAACCATTAGTTGGAACTGTTCCAAGTACCAGTCGCACAAGTGCAGAGCTGTCGCTATCACTGAGCAAGACAGACTAGTGGAGACGCGTCAGCAGCATAATCACGACATTTTCTTACGAAAACCGGAATCTCGTCGGAGAAAGTCGAAAAAATCAAAACCAAAACCAAAACCACCAAAACTAAAAGTAACAAGCGTAACTTCGATAAAAACTGAATATGAGCCGATGGAAGTAAGTCAAAAATACTTATACTTAATTTTTTTTATCAATTTTATGTTTTTTACGACTTAGCTTATTTATACAAGCGGAGTGTAGTGTGATAATGCTACGCAACTTTTTCAATCGAAGTACTAAATAAAAATGCTACTTTTGGTGGCACTTTTGAATCAGGAGGCCGCATTGCACGATGATACCATGTGTTGACATTTGATTTGCAGTCAGTTAACACAGTTGATGCTTTAAGAGCCGATGAACGTAGTTCAGATTCTTATATAGGTCGCAATAATTTTTTTTCCGGAAGGCAATGATTTTTTCCTTTGTTAAAAGGAAGGCAAACTCCACTATCAAACAAGAGTAAGTTTCACGAAAAACCTGATCAACTTCTAGTTTCGAAAGTGGAATTTAATTTTCAGATTTCCCAGCAAAATAAAAAATTTACCTATTGATCCAGTTTTTCATAAATTGTTCTGGAAATTCAAAGAGCTTTAAGGGCATCTATTTTTTTGAAATTTGAAAGTTTTTTGAAAAATTTTTTTTTCTTTTGAAAAAATCTCAAGTTTTCAGTAGCTACTATTCCGTTTCCCTAGTTGCCAATTTAGCATCATGAAACAACGCGTGCAGATGGTTCCTAAATATGTGTACCACATTTTGGGGAAAAATGATTCTGAATAATTTCATAAATTGGATAGATTTTAGTCATTACCCAACTTAGCTGATTTAAGTTGAAATAGGAACGAACAAGACTGCACGTATATCAGGGCAAAGCCATGAGTGTTTCTACTGCCCTTGAAACCATATCGAATAGTTTTTGGGAAAAGAAAATATTGAAAATTTTTATATTTTGAACAATATCAAAGATCAAATTTGAGTCGTACGAAAGTACAACGACCGACTAGCTAGCCTCAACTTAATTTGGAACGATTTTGTTGTGTGGGATAATTTGCCACGCATAGATAGTTCGCGTTACGCTTTCAGCATTATGATTAAATTTTTCATATCGTTTCGTGCGGTGTTATTTTAATATTTTGTTTGACCTGAAATAAATGATTGTAATTACTAATATTTTTTTTCTGTAAGTTGTGTATTTACAGTTGTGTATTTACAAATCAATCACGTTTTAGCCTCATTATTTTTTTGTTTTTACAGACAATGGGAAGCAACATCAGTGGCAACACGAGCGGATCTTCGCCGAGACCACCTAACCATCTGAACTACGACGTCCCCGCTGGTTCTCCAGTTGGCGTAAACCCCGACTCTTCGTTCAGTGAAACACTGCGTCTGGCCTTGGACCGAATTAAGGTTCTGGAGACCACAAATAAAGACTTAGAAGAGCGAATCAAAACTCAGGAACGCATGATTTTGGAACTGGTAGAACGAAACCATTTCCTGTCAAAGTCAAATCAGGACTGCATTTGCGGCAAAGGAGACAGGGTTCTGGAATCCCAGACACCTGGGAGACCAGCTTCGATAGCAACGGGAAGCACTCGTCGCGAGACACCGACACCTGGATTTGTGGAAAGTGTGAAAAAACCGACGTTTACACCTTCAGCAGCGACGATTCAGGAGTACAGTGGGCACGAGTATAGCGTGCCGAGTACGTGTTTCCAGGAGTATGACGTAGTGAGTGAACTCGCTGCCGACATCCCGAAGACGGCAACGTCATCATCTCGGAAGGAGGAAAGTGATAGCGGATTCAACGAGACGAGATCATCAGGCGAAGATGCTAACAACGAGGAGGTGAAAAGGCAACGTCAACTTGAGGGTTCGGTGATCGAGTCTTCAGGCGAGATCTCTATTGACGAAAAATGCACCAGATTTACCCCGCCTCACTTCGCATCAGTGAACCAGGAATTTGATGTGAATAAACCACCCGAGCTGCCTCCAAAAGGCATTCCACCACCATCAAACGTTCACAGTTCCAATTCAACTGATGAAAAGTGAGTGTTTTAATGAAGTTTATAAATCTTTTTGACGGTCGTTTTTGTTACATCTTTTTTTGCGTGCAACGGAATTAAGTCAACTTATCCAGTGGCGTGCACGGGAGTTTATGGTAAGGATGTTTTATCCGCTTCATTAATTGCCGTTGTCTTGAAGGGAACAAGAACGGTAATTAGCACAAAAGTCAAGACAAAAGATCTTAATCTGGAGGCTGGATTTTTGAATCTCGTAGGCATCATTTTTGAAACTACTTTTTGCCATTTTTTAAGCTGGCGAAGTTCAGATTCCGTGAAAAAAAAATTGCCTCAACAGCAGCTTTTAAGTATCAATGAACAAAGTATTGACTTTTAAGACATGTAGTTTTTTTTTAAAGTTTTTTTTCGAGAAAAAGTTCAATAGGTTCACGCTCAAATTTGATTTTTCGCTGTTTGACTTGATTTTTTAAGTTAAATTCAACTTATTTGCTAAATGACAACCGTTGGCTATGTTTTGTATCTGGAGGTCGTTTTTTTCGGTGAGTGCTGCCACCTTTCTGTATATTAGTCATCGAGGTTCAATCAGGCCAAAAATTGATTGAATCAAGAAAAATAATCTTAAGTGCCAATGAACGTAGTGTAGACATTAATGTCACTTGCGAGAAACAGCTTTTACAAATTTTGCTCAAACATGCTCAATTTCTTGAAAACTCAAATAAAACAACTTCTTAATTCATCAAGGTATTGCAATCGGGTACAAGATTTTTTTCCCGTAAACAACTTTGTTCATAGGATCTCCGCTTCTAGAAGATCTCATTCTCTAGAGCATCTCCTTTTTAGAGGATTTCCACTTCACAGTCAAGTTGCGTTTTTAATGGCACTTTTAAGTAGTTTCCGTTCTAAAGCTGAAAAAAAGTTTTCAGATTTAAATATATTTTGTACTTTTTACGGATTTCGGCACAATTTTGTCGGCTTATTTGCCAGATGTTTTATTTTAGAAACGTTTTTGCTAGTTTTTCTTTTGCTTTTTGGATTTAGTTTAGAAAAACGTTTATAGAGTTTATGTTTTTTTATACACGCGAAATGTTTTCTGTTTGAAAAGGCAAAATTTTATTTAAAAAAAACTGGTTTGTAAAAAAAATTTTGCCTAATCAGTTTTTTTGGTGCTGGCTTTCTGATTTATTTTTTTGAGCCCATAAGCATGTGCAATTGCTTTCAACCGTATTAGCGTCTGGAGTAGGTTAAGGCAATTTAGTTTTAAATAAATCCTTGCAAGGTGGTGGCACAGCGTATTATTTTGATAATTAAAAATATTTGAAAATTTCAGTAAAGTTTTTGGTCGAAATTTTGACTTGATTGTTCTGTCTTCGAAGGTATGTGGCGAGTGATGCACAAGATACAAGTATGTTGAATTTTCTTGCTGAAGTTTATTCCTTCGGGCGTCTTTTTTGTTATCTTTTTTGTTGCGATTCAACTCTCTTACCGTTGCGTATTAACTTCATATTTAATAATATCGATGTGATTAAGTTTATTCAATTAATTCAATAGGTATTTATTTCATTTCAGGTTTTTATAGGCTTTCTAGAAGTTCTTTTCTGTGGCAATTGTTTTTTTATAGTTTTGTATTCAATTTTGTTATTTCTTTTTGGTTTTAATCTATAATATACCGTTCACAGTGCTGTTTGATAACACCTTATGGTCATGCGATTTGTTTGGTTTCATTTTTTTTGCAAAGTTTCTTTTGTATTATCAGTTTTTGGATCCTGATTTTTTGACTAAAACTTCACTTTTTTCTCACTTTCATCTGTTACTTATTAGAAAAAAGGAATGTAGTTTGCGGAGCATGATTTTTTTAGATCTTGGATAATTGTTTTTAAAAAATTTGCAAAAAGAAGTTTTCAGCTGACTAGTTTTTCAACAGAAATAATTTGATTATTTCATTTTTCGTATGAGATAGATTATTTTATATTTTATTTTGTATCGCAAGTGTTGCGAATCTCTGCTTCGCCTCTGTGATAATTTTTTCAAAATATCAATAGAAAAAAGTTGTTTCATATGAGGTAGTAATTAATTTTTTGATGTTGGCGTAACGAGGGTCTGCTCAATGTTTTGTGCCTTATTTGCCGCTCGTTCATTGATTCTCAATGCTTGGTAACCTTTCCACAAGCCTCATCTAAGACACATGTTTGTAAGATATAGTTTTTTCGACTTTTTCCAAGTAATTTTTTCAGAATAATTTTTCAAAAAATTCGACTTGTTTTTTTTCTAATCAACATCTTGTAATCCAGTGTTTTTATTGTAGCGCAAGAGTTGCGAAGCTCCGCCTCGCCTCTGTATAGGTCTTATTTTTAAAAGGAAAAAATCTAAGACCTTCACTTGCTCACGCTCAGATTTTTCGTGATTTGATTTTTCATTACTTTTTCAAAATTTTCAAAATCGTTTGCTTCAAGAAGAGCAAAATAAACTTCTGAATAGCAAACGTTCAAATGACGCAAAAAATTGTGAATAATTTCTAGTTTCATAAATAGACTAGTTTTAGCGGAATTAAAAAATTTATCGTTCGATCTAGTTTTCTTAATAAATTGGTATATTTTTTTCCATTAGACGAGTTTTCCAAAATTTGCGAGATTACCACATGCGAAGTTATCTCTGCAACATGTTATTGCCTATATTGCGTTATGGAAGAACCGGTGACTCACTGCCACAAGTACGAGGAAGAATGAAATATATCCAACAATGTTTTCTGCTGCTGCCGTTTGGAACAAAACTCCAGATGTTCGATGTGTGCAGTCTTTTGAAGTTTTTAAGCGCAATCTGAAAACTCTCGTTTTTGTGAACAATTTTAACTCTAGTAAATTTTGTAGCAAATTGTATAAATGTGTTATTTATTCGTATTTTTTTAATCATAAAGCGGTCTGGAAATTCTGGGAGTTTTCAGGTGATTCTATAAACTCGAAAGTGTAAATTTTTGTGAAAAGGATATTTTGGCCTTTTTCTTGATTGACTCATTTAAAGCTGCCTATTTATTGAGATACGATGAAAGTCGTTCAAAAGACTCTTAAATAGGTCGTGTTGATTTTTTTCCCGTTTTTTCGGTCTAAAAATTTCAGGCTCAAATTTACTTTTTCGCGTTTTGATTCATTTCCTGCGTTGAAAGGAAGCGTCCGAACAGCAAAAGTGTAAAGGTCACGAGAACGTGATCGACTTCTAGTTTTGAAAAAAATTCAAGACAAAATCGAGAATAAAAATAGGAAAATTGTTAAATCGATTTTTTCAAATCTTTGAAATTTTTTCTGCGGCTTTAATCTATTTCCGTCGTTTTTTTGTTATGCTCCGTATTTGTTATTTCGCAAGTAGAGCGAAGTCTTAATTCGATTTTCTTGTAAAACTTCTAAAGGTGCTGGTAGTTCAGTTCCAAAATTTCCTTTTTGTTTTTTTTTTTGGTACAACTACTGCTTCGCCTGTGCTTAAAACAATTGTTTATTCATCGTGTTTTGTACTAAATTCAGTTGAGTAACAAAAACGGTTGAGTACAGAAATTTGTTTCTCAGCGAAACGTGTCATTTTCATAGCAGGAGCTTCATTAATGTTCACTTTTGAAAGCAGGAGAAGCCATGGAAGTTTGCTAATTTCCTTGCTGAAAAGATTGAAGTGAGATTTTGCACATGTCAATATTGAATGTAAATTGCTCATTTATTATAAACATATTGGATCTTGTTAACTATTTCCTCCCCTACGGTGCCTTGTATAAAATCCCCCCACCCCCACCCACTATAAAGAAAGAATTGAACAGTTAAGCATATTCGAACTTCGTATCTTATAACGAATTGGCCACCCAATTGCAATTGGGAAGAAAATAGTTTTCAAGATTTAACATATTTCTATGCTTTTTTTTCAGACAAATTTCGACTTTTTAACTAGCCGTTTTTGACGGGATTCTTTAATATAGTTCAAAAGGTATTGTTGTCTTGAGCTTAAACTTGAAAAGTTATTTTACCTGTGATCCTTTTTCGTAAAGTTATGGGGGTTTAAAGATTGCCATTTTCGCCAATTTGGGACAATTAATGCGCAATATATTTGGCGCTTTTAACGCGTAAGCAGAGATTTAATCCGTCTTAGAAATCATTCAAAATTAGTTGAAGGAAGCTTATTTGCCAAAATTGATTTGTAACTAGGAGCGAAATTTATCACTGTATACTTTAATGCGTGTGGGGGATGATTTTCACATAAAAATCTCAAATAAAAAAAAATTAATTTATTATTGTACAATTAATGTTTTCATGTTATTACTGCTCCATTGACCTTGAACGGCAGTCGGAACATTCAACATTCAGGGCTTTGCCCTGATACAAGCAGTCTTTTTTATATTGTCTTCATGAGAAATGATGCTTTTACAAATGACACTTTTTCATACACGCACGATTTCCTTTCACATGGTTTTCATAATTAAAGTATCGCTTGCTTTCTTATTTATTATAGTCCTGCATGAAAGAAAGGAAGAGCTAGTTGTTAGGTTCATGTAAGTTTTTACCAATAAAAGAAGTGATAGAAGAATCGTCATACCAGAAGAACTGAATAGCCGAAAGTTATAAATTATATTAGCCAATCCGAATTCATTATTCAAAATTTCGTTTGAAATACGCTGGAAAATCAGTCAGTTTCAGACAGTTTAAAAGATCTTGGTTAGTTATAATTCGGGAGCGATTAATTGTTTTTTTTGTCATGACATAGCCCCTGAGTTAAGATCGTCCGGAGGACGAACTTGGGCGGAAGATCTTAACTTGGTCTATTTAGGGGGGAGGTGGGTTTTTAATTTGCGTTTATGTACAAAAGTTATTTTGAGCAAAATTGTTTTCACGGATGCAAAAAAAAACTAAGCGAATCTAATTTATCAAGTTCGTTTCAGCAATTCGACTAAGAGTAACAGTCGTACTAGTGGAGATAGCAACCAGTCCCAATCTAGCAACTCATCATCCTCTCAAACTCAACAACAAAAGACTGCCGTCCCGAAAACATCCCCCACTCCCCTTGGCAGCCCCAACCCGACAAGTCCCCCCACCCCGAATCCAAATGCACCGCCCCCCACAGAAGACGTGGAAGTTACATTGGTAAGGCAGAAAACAGAGCAGTTGACGAGGAAAATTAAGATTATGTGGCAAGCGTGCCAAGAGCAGAGACATGATTGTTTCGTCTCTTGCTCCGACAACATCAGGGCTCTAGTCACGGAGTTCATCGCTTTATTTTCACAGGTGAGAGTTCAGGGTGGTTGTAATTTTTTTCCCTAAAGATAGCTCCAGGTGATTACGAGTCGATGAACAGAGCTCAGACCTTTATATAGTTCGTGTTGATTTTTTCCGTTTTTTTTCACTCTAAAAATTAGTTCAGGCTCAAATTTACTTTTCACGGTTTGACTTTTGATTTATTTTTAAATTCAGTTCATTCCTTTGTTAAAAGGAAGGCAAACTCCACTATCGAACAGCAAAAGTAAAAAGGTCACGAAAAACGTGATTGACTTCTAATTTCGAAAGTGGAATTTAATCAGATTTCCCAGCGAAATAAAATCTTTTCATATTGATCCATTTTGGTTCATTGTGCTTTTAGATAACTTGAAATTAATTTTTTTTTCGGCTCAACTGGTGTCTGCTTGCGTTCATTGACTTTTTTCCAACTGTTTGTTGGCTTTGTTCGTTTTTCCATTTTTTTTTTTTCAGTTTTCTTATTTTCGTGGCATTTTCTATTTGCTAACTTGCAATCCTGCGCATGCGTTGTATCGCAAATGATGCAAAGCTTCGATTGGCCTCTGGGTGGTAAATGAAAAAGGTTGCGTGTTTATCACAAGCGCACAATTTGTTGGACCTGGTTCTTTGTGTTTCAGAAATACTTGGAGGCTCATGGGAGTGTGGTGAAATCTCCCCTGGAGTTGATGGACAACAGTTCCTACAGACTACAAATAGAGTGCAAATCTGCATTCGATGAGCTGGAACCATACACAGATCAGGAGCTAATAGTCACAGTCATCAACCAGATATTCATCTGCTGCGTAGACATTGCACACGGAATCAAAGCTGTTGTCCAGTATCTACAAATAGACTAAGCTAACTGAATTCGGGGGCGTAGCGATTAGCATGTGTGCATATTAACATGCGGTAATTGCTTTTATCGGGTGTGCATCCAGGCGTAAAACAAAATAGCCAAAGTTTTTAATCGACACGCATGCTAATAGCATGGTCTCCACAAAATTCAATGTAAAATGAGTTTAAAAAACTCGGACCATAATGCTGAAAGTGTAAATTAATTTCTCCAAATAGATCTTGGACGATTGACATAAAGACAAAAACTTTTCACGATTATTCAACAGGACCTCAGCTAGTGCAGTAGAGCAAATGTCTCAAAAATTACAGCACGATCGAATCAAAATTTGAAGTCTTCGAATAAAATTGTTCGGTTGCATTTAGATGATCGGCGTCGAGTAGCAGAAATTAATATTTGGACGGAGAGTGTTTATTTTTGTACAAAATTTATCGAAACTATTTTGATATTCTTCCAAGTATTGTTTGATGATTTTGATATGTTTGGCGCAAGATATTTTGCATGTTTTCAGATATAAACGTGCGAAAGGTTCCTTAGAAAAAGTCGAAGCGCATTTGAATTAAATTTGGAGCATGATGATGATTTCGAATTATCAGTGAATTCTGAACATGAATTATTGCAGCTTTATTTCCATGTCATGAGATCGTGAAAGTTATATTCCTGTGTTAGAATTGGCGTAGTATTAAATTAATTTGAGTTGTTTTACCATTTCTATCCTTGAAATCAAAGAATGTCCGTTTTGTATTTTGTTTACATTATGTTAATTAACAGACAAATGCACAATCTAATTTAAATGATCGATTCTATTGTTGAAATTTATTTTTGGCGAATTCTTCGTTTTTAGGTTACAAGAGTTTATTCATCTGTCAATGGTATAGTATCACTCCAAAATCCATGCTCAATTGTCATGAAAAACAAGGCATCTCTTTCAGTAGGTTAAGTATATACTAATTTTTACAAAGGCCGTAAAGTGTATCAAATGGGCGCTCTGTTACTCGCTTACCACAAAGTATATTTCATTGAACGGGGCAATTTGAACCAAAAAGGGATTGATGAAAACATTTTTCTCTACGAAAAATTTGTGTTTAGCTTTTGTTTTATAAATCTTTTATTCAGTCGGTTAAAGAGCAAAAATGTGTTTTTTTTTTAAATTTTCTAGACGTTTCAGTAGGAAGGTGGAGTAAAATAGTTGCGTCTTTGAGTTTTATAACTTGGAAGTTGAAACAATAATTTAAAACAAGTTGAAAGCAATAATTCGAAATCAAGTTGAAAACAATAATTTTTTTGGTTATTTTGTTTTCGACTCAACGGCTTAGTGTTGTCGGCTGAAGGGCCATTCAGTTAATAATAGTGAACGCTTATTTGACGCTGATTATTGCATTTTTTGACACTCAGCTTCAACACTGGTTGAATTTTTTTGCTGAGTGATTTACCAGGAAGTGTCTCTTATGCTTAATTAAGACGCTTTCCTTGCTGCTTGGGCCTTTACTTTTAAATGTGTAAATTACTTTAGTCAGCATAATAGATTGGCCAGTGAGAATACTATCTCATTATAATGTGAAAATTGAGTGGTAGCTCAGTAAACCGATGTATCAGCAACCTGAAAAGGAACAGACCAGATAAGTAACTCGAAATATAGTAAAAATTTCGAAGCAACGTTTTTATTAGTTGACCTGTGAACTTGCGAGGAATTAAGCGCAATATTGTTGTATATTAAATTATGCTGCTAAGGAATTGAAATACTGTAGGCTGTCTACCTGTGAAAAGTCTTTTAATTTGGTATCTTGATGCGTTAGTTTAAGCTCAGTTAGTACTTGCTATGACGCAATCTGTTAAGTAATTGTTACGTAATTGTTTCATAAATCAATTTACTGATATGGTAGTTTACTTATACATCAATTTACTTTGCGCCCACCGGAAAAAGGTAGTCTGAATCCCGATAGTGGCCATGAACATACTCCATAGAACTTAAAGGGCAGTCGGAACATTCAGCGCTTCGCCCTGATACGCGCAGTCTTGTTTCTTTTTCTGTTTTTGTACATTTTTGAAGCTGCTGTTTTTAATCAATGTGTTCACGATGTACAGCTTCTGATATGCGTTACCTTATGAGCTGCTTTTGACATCAATGAAATTGCGTTACTTTTCTCAAGAAGTACAGCTTCTGGTATACCTTTGGTTGTGAGACAGTTTTGACAACGATAAGTTTTTGTAATAAGTTGCAACTGACGTTTTTAGTCTGAAACTCAATCTATCGACTTAGTGTTTCGTATTTTTGCAGCAGCTTAATTGCAGTAGCACAAATCCTTTTTTTAGTTCTGATGACCCCAAAAAGTTCTTCATTTAGCGGTTTCGATATATTGAAGGTCACTAATTTTTTTTCTCAGATTTTTTCAACTGTTGAATTATTCATCAGACAGCTATTTTTCTATCACCTGTTCAATTAAATAGGAAAAACAAAACAGTTTGGTGGTATCTAAATTATATTGAACTATCAGTCATACTTGTGGTTGACATGGTATTTTTATTGCTTGTTCTCGAAAAATGTTTTTATTGCTTGTTCTCGAAAGTACAAAAAAATTCAAAAAAAATTGTTTTGGCTCTCTGAGAATTCGATAATTGATTCCAAAATTAGCCTCCTAAATTTGAATTTTTGATTCAATCAAAAGAACGTGTCATTTGAAGCTACCCGGCGTTAGCGGCTTCACTAAGTCTTTTAACACAACAAGTTATCGTCCTCGGAAAAGTCCTGTTTTCGATTTTTCAGATTTTGGTACGAATTTTTTTTACTTTTCTCAAAAACTACGCTCAGCTTATCAAAATTTGTTCTGATTGAAAAGATTCAATTGCATGAAACTCCACTGCATGAGCGGCTATGCCCAATCTTTTTTTCCAAAGAAAATTATTGCCCCCGAAAAAGTCAAACAATTGATTTTTTTTATATAAGCTTTTTTAGGTTAACAACTTGTTTAACAAAATCACTTGAATCACTAGACTTCATGCACATGCTAATGCAAATTATATCGGTCTACTGTTACTACTAACAGCTCTTTTAAGAAGTAATGTTTTAAGTTTTTCAAGATAAAATTTTCAGTTCAAAAAATTTTCGGACTATCGTTAGGCTGATTGTTTTGTCGGCTTAGTTGGCGCATCACTGAAATTTTTTGTTTTTTATTAGCTCTTTTCGGAAAAATTTTCGGACTATCGTTAGGCTGATTATGTTTTGTCGGCTTAGTTGGCGCATCACTGAAATTTTTTGTTTTTTATTAGCTCTTCAGGCACCCTTGGTTTTTGAGACGAAAATCACACCTGAGGTGGTAAAGGTCCTGTGTTCAAACTAGGCCAAAACTTCATTTTATTCAAAAGGGAAATATTCTGTTTCGAAAAATTGTCAACCTGTTGAGTGTCTGGTTATGTTTCGTTGGCTTAGTTGCCTTGCTACAGATTTTGCTCGGCTCTTAAGTAATCTATTGTATCTGAAATAGTCAAGATTTGTTTTTGTAATTTGTAAACTTACTGTTCGTAATTTTTTTTTCTTTCGCTGGTTTGCGTGGCTTGAATTGATTTTTGTTTTTGCTTATGTTGTATCGATTAGGTGAACTAGTTAAGCATTGTTTTTACAAGAACATAGATTTTTACGCTTTTTTATGCTTCCGGAGGGGGGAGTGTAAAAAGTTAGATTTTCGGAACTTGATATATTCTGATATAAAGGGTTTATCCGAAGCAACAGGTTGTGGGAAACCTCCGTGCATAAGCGCTACGCCTTTGCATCTTGAAAAAAAATCCGAAATCTTAAGAAAGTTCATTCTTTCTTAGTTTATTAGAAAAATAGCAAAATTTTAGGTGAAGACCAATTTTTGAAACTTTAAAATTACCCATTTCATCTTTCATCACTTTCAAGTTCGTATACAACACACGATTATTATGCTGGTTGAATTTCAGTAGACTATTGTGTTTGTACTAATTCGAGACATCCATTTTTGGCTGATTGACCCTAAAATGTTTCTAAAGGCATCTTTGGCGACAAAATATACTAATTGTGAGGCGGAGTGCGCGCCAAAAAAATGCGATTTTTTGTCAAATTTTTCTTTAAAAAAAGGCCTAAAACGCCTTTTGTGGCCTGATTTTTTCAAAAATTTGCCTGCGGCGCCGAAAATTTTGTCAACTTAGGGGTTTTATAGTGAGTGATTTAGGATAGCTCAGAAAACCAATTTGGTCCACCTAAAAAAGCCAAAAATATTTCGAATTTGAAAATTTGACCCCCACGCCTCTCGAGAAAATCTTAGATACGCCCCTGCTAACCCTTCAAAATTTTTGGTTCAAGTTTAAAAAATTAACTTGAAAACTTTATAACGTGGCGGAGTTGTTTTCGTGTTGAAAATTTGCTTGTTGGAGAATTGAACATTTTTATTATAATAATAACGTATTTAGCCATAATAGCAAACTTAAATAATCGCGTACAGAGTATGGGAGTCGAAAAAAAGCAACTTTTGTCTTGTTGCTTAGCTCCCCCTAGCCGCCACCAAATTACACCCACATTCCAATTTAATTTCAAAAATCGAACTATGTGGTCAAGTAAACATGCTCAGAGTTTTCTCCAGTATAGTCATCTGCATCTGCATCTTTTTTTAACTTCCCGAAAAAAAATAAATACTACTTGGGTGTATTTTCTTCTTGTTTCTATCTGCAGACAATAATTGAAACTGAAAAACGCTCGATTTTTGAATTTTTTTTCGATTGTTGGCCAACTATTCCCTTGCCAACTTCAAACATTTATTTACTTTGGTTCAGGGGCAGATCTAGGATTTTTAGAGGGGGGCCTCTAAAATTTTTGTCAATTTTTTGTCGATTTTTTCGAAATTTTTGTCGATCTTTTTTTAAGTCAACCAATTGGATTTTCGACCAAATTAGTATAAAGACCCCATTTTGACCTTATTTTCTGCGGCCGCAGGCATATTAAAAAAAAAACGGTTAAAAAGGCGTTTTTAGGCTTTTTTGGAAAATTTTGGCCAAAAAATTGCGTTTTTAGGCGCGAGCTCCCCCTTAGAAATAGTATAATTTGGCGACAAAGGTTTGCGGTCAGTCAGGTTTGGGGTCAGTCAGCCAAAAATAGACATCTCAAAACAATGCAAAGGAGGAAAGTTTTGGGTAGGCAGGTGGTCGAATCCTTGAGGGGGAAGGGGCGTCTCCCCCTAAATCCGCCCCTGCTTTGTTTAGTAATTCTTTAATTTGTTTGTTCGTCGATCCCTTAGTAGATATAGAAGGATTATTGGATAGATATAAAATGAAATGTATTTAGAATTTGATAATTGTCATGCATGCCAAACTTCACAACAATGGGAGCAATGTTAATATTACGTTTTGTTTTAATTAGTGCAAAAAAATTCAAGTCACTCAAAAAATTTAAGTTCAAGAAATGATTTTCTACATTTAAAATTGCCATTTTCTGTGAAATTCCGAACAAATTGTGCCCACCGTCATCCAAAAGGTGCTACTAAGGAAAGCAGTACTAATAGCAACCTTAATGCGTTAGATGTTTTTGTTCGATTTTTTTAATGTGAAAACCCAGAGTGTTAGTATTGCAGATTGAAACGGGGCGTATAAACAGGGCAATATGAAAAATTTTAAGAATATAATCCATTTATGATAGATTATAATCGATTAGTTTTGTAATTTTAGAGATACTGACTAGAAAATGACAATCTATTCGATTATTATCCATGGAAATCCAGTGCGGATGGGCTTGGGGTTTAGAACTGCCTGATGATTATGATGGTCATGAAATTGGCATGCATGTTAACAGAGGCACGTAGACTATATCAAATTACCGGAAAGA